TATGACATTGGTATTTATCGCTCAATCTGCTTCGTGCCTGCTGTCTATGAACTCTCAACTCAAGTCATCCTAACAGAAGTGTCAGGAAAATCAGACAAATAACAAACATAAGACCGAGCAGACTTTTGAAAAGGATTCGTTGCTATAAACCAGTCCACTCGGTAAAAAAACTCTCCATAATCATGCTGTTCAATCGGCAATTTGGAGATGAAAATGATGAACTAGGTAAATATACAAAGCTATCGCTGAAAACTACACAAACATGTTAAAAAATAAGGCTTTTCAATATTTCCCAAAACTTTTCACTCAATTTAATATAATGACATTACTATGGAGTAAGCAAAAGGTCTCGACAAGGTGACACCATTTCTTCCAAATTGCTTAGAGACAACCTCACCTGAGAACTCAGTACAAAAGTTGGAACTGGGCACTTTGGACTGGGAGGAGATAGCTTTGAATGCATCATTTTCGCTTTGCTAAGTGCATCGTTTTCATAACACGGAACAAGATCCAAGCAAAATGGATTTCACTGAAATTGACAATGCTTGTGAGAAAACGAGGAACGGGTTGATATTCATTTCTCATTCATTTTAACGTGAATATTTCCAAATACTCCAGTTACGTCTATCAAAATTGCGGAGTCAATATGATGAGCGAAGTTAGCTCTAGAGTTGAGCAGGAGGAATCAAGCGGCTTGTGGAGCTCTCAAAATTCGAGTATGTAGTGAAAAGAACAAGGAACATCACAATCTCTGTTCACCTTTTTTACTCCACGGCTATCCCTAAACATGCATTACAAACTTGGTCGTTGCGTAACCAGGATGAAAGCAACTTATCGTTATTGAGAACGCAACTGAAAGGTTGATGCCAAGGATATTCTGGATCCCTCATATGAGAAAGAGGGTCTGAAGTTTAGCCTACACTAATGATCCAAGAATGAAGGTTACCGCTTTGCACGGCAAGCTACATAATATCAAGTAAACCTGGTGCGAAATGCGTTCTGATGATGACCGATAGAGAAGAACCGTTAGCGATCACATTTCTCGGGATGTAAAGGCACAAGAGAAAAGCCAACGGTCCGATAGTCCGGCTTTTTTACACATAATTGAAAAGAGTGATATGATCTACCCTTTAATAAGAGGTTATTTGCAAAACAATTTGCGTCAGTTGGGATTCGAGCCCAGATTTTACCCTATCCGGAGGCGAATGCTGAACCGTTGCACTACCGGCGGCCGTTTTGACACCAGTTTTTTTTTTTGGCTACAACGCGTTATCTGTCAAAGCCAAACGTCAACGGTGAAGCAATTGTTTTGCACATCACTCTTTATCATTGCGTATGTTATAATATCTTACCACTGCTAAAAGCGGTCAAATAGAATGAATTCTGAATGATATGATGCTCAAGTGATCCATATGGCGAGGAGAGCTTATTGGATTTTTTGCACGGTTTAGAAGCAGTAGAAGCCTTGCCGGCGCACGCTCGAGTTACTCGACATACGAAACGACAGGTGATAAATGTAATAAGAACCTTTGAAGTTGTCTCGTTTTTGCGAGAGGGAAAGAAGGTGGACTGTAATGTTCTTAGCCAATGGAAAATCGGCGAGATCGTATCATTGTTAAAAAATGGAGAACTCGACGACTTCAGAGAACATTGCACAATCGTCTGCTCTCTGCATACTATAAAATTTTTACTCGAATAATCTTATACGGGATTGAAAGAGCACAAAGCGAAGGACGATCATGAGAACCAGAAGGGTTTCGAAAAGATTTTAGTAGGATAGACCATATCCATAGGATAACAAGACTAATTAAAATTTTGCGAATGTACTAAAGATCTCTCTACCTCGTCACCGTCGATTTGAAAAAGACCTTTGAATAAGTTGAAGTCGTAGAAGCTCTAGATAGCTTAGGCATCCTTTCCCAGTGCATGAATATTCTTCTTGCAGTGTATGGAAATTTCACAATCAAAACGTCACTATGATTTACGATTTTTTTATCGGCGTAGCAAGTGGAGTTCGGCAAGCTGGGACTATCTAACCTAACTTATTCTTTTCAGGCATGTCACACCATATGAACAGTAGAATGTGGAAACATGGGAGTGAAAATCGACTGCCGACAATACACCATCCTCCCTTCAGGATAAAATCGTTCTTCAAACACCAGCATCAACCATGGGCACCAAATTTTGATCGATTTCCACATCGCTCGTGGAAAGATCGGCCCCTAATAAATTCCATGAGCCCGACATTTATGAGGACAGATTGGTTTTGAATGCTTTATCCACGCTCAACGAAACGAACATTCCTGAATGCTCCAGTTACGTCTATCTAGGTTTTGAAGTCAGTATGATAAACAATCTAAGCCCAGATTTGAGCAGGTGGAGGCAAACGTTCTAAACACCTCTTAAGAGCATCAAACATAAAATGAAGAAAAGAGAACACGCCTGCTACCGAGTCCATCTTTCCCGACTCTGTGGTTATCCTTGCCTTAACGCATGCATCAGAAACCTGATTGATACGTAAAGAGGATGAAAGATCACTTAACGTTAGGGAACGCGCATTCGAAAGGTCGATCCTAGATGCATCCCGTATCTCCCAAGAGAAAGGAACCATCCAAAGTTTTGACCTACGGAAAAGATCGAAATTCAAGATAGTCGCTCTACACTCCAGGCTACACATGATATGGTGGATTGGTGGATTGGACACGTAATGCGTTTTAATGACAACCGATGGACGACAACCGTTAGCAGCTGGACTTATTGATATCAAGCGCACAACTGGAAGATCGCCAACTTGAAAGTCCGATTTCTTCACGAAAGGCCTAGAGGAAAGGTGTGATGTCAACGAATGCTAGAAGGAAAGCCCAAAGGCTACTCTCACACGTAATTGGAAATGGAAGGTTCAGTAGTGCTCGCTCGATCCACTAGAATATCAACGAGAGCGAAGTTGGTACGGTGATATCGTGAACCGTGATATCCTATATTTTTTTGCAAAGACCACTGGAACTGGCTAAAATTTCTATTCAATCGACTCTTTAATAGTGATATGATGCTATAATTGATTACATGCCCAATAATGTTGAGTGATACTGCAAAACTTTTGAACCTTGGGTAGGAGTTGAACTCTCCTCCCACTCTCTCTATGTCCCGGAAAGGGTGAAACGCGTGTTCAGCTCTCACCCTAGATTCGAAAATTTTGTATATCATTCAGCAATATTGAATATATACTCATTAGAATAGGAGCACATGTGGCGGGGTGGTTAGAGGTGCTCTGCGTCACACACGCAGCGTCGATGATTTAATTTTGCGCTCATGGCTCATCAAGCCATCCTTCCTCAAAGGTTTATAAATTGGTGCTTGTCTGGTCTCAAGCTACTCTGAGAGGATATACAGCACTGATTTGATAAAGCAATAGGCCACTCGCGAGTCATTGTTAAGGCGAGATATGCATCCATTACTCAAACGAAGTTTTAAATTGAAGACAAATTATATAGCGTATCCCTTAGGAATTGACCAACGTCGAGAGCTTCATCCTTTTATCCTTTAATCAGCAGAATATCTCCAGCTTTTATGCTCTCCGTTTAATCATGATTAGTAGCCTAAAAAAAACCTTTACATTGTTTCTTTTCGCTCTCCTATCGCTATCCTCTCTTCTGCCTCTGCTCAATGAGTTATCTTGACCATCCTTTTTCAGCTCAATTTGGTAGATAAGTTTATTTCGAAATCAAGTTCCTACCCAGAAATGTGTCTATGCATCACTTACTGCTATACATTTGCTGTTATACAACAGATCCCGCTGAATCTTATCAAGACCGATTCGGCCAAAATTTAAGTTTCAGACGAAGTACTACTTTTCACGTTGCAATTTCTCCTTTACCATGCGATCTGAAAACGTTGTCTGCATATGTGTATTATACCGATAAAACACATTCTTTTCTCTGAACGACGTTGAAGGTTTTTTTCATTATACACATCGCTGCCATAACTGCGCTATCTGCCACATTTTTTCTCAAGTTGTGGATTGCAAAGGTGATTTATTGAAGTATTTGAGAATTAAAGGATATCTGAGTAATATGTTGACTGGTACTGTGCATCTACTATTTCCCACCACTTCTCAAATTATCAGCTATGCAAAATTCGTCATATAGTATTTCGAATGTGTTATATCTTTTGCACAGTTCGATCAACTCCAATCTGATGACAAAGACCGATTAATAGCGAACAGCTGCCGTTTGCACAAATGGTCCTTTTCTTCCCAATTCTAGATAGAAATTTCTTGAAAGGCTCTGAGTTGAGATGGAAGGAGGTTAAATCGTTCTTAGCATATAAAAAAAAGGATAAAGCTCTCGGCGTTAATCAATCCCTGAGGGATGCGCCATGCATTCGACTTCAATTCTTAACTTCGTCTGAGGTGATTGAATGCACATCTGGCCTTTACAATGACTCGCGGTGGCCTCCCGCTGAACCGAGTCAGTGCTGCTTATCCTCCCAGACAAGTCTGAGACCTGTCTGGTACCAATTTACCTACCCCGGAGGGATGGATGGCTTGGTGAGCCATGAGCGCAAGATAGAACCAGTGACCTCGTGTGCGACGCAGGGCACCTCTAACCACTGCGCCACATGCGCTCATATCTTCTTAGCATATAGCTCATTTTATTTGACATCTTTTAACTTGATTTATGCATATTGTTTGATGGGACGAACGTTGCTGCATATCAGTAGGGTTTTCAATTTCTTTTACTTGAGATCAGTGATAGATAGCAAAATAAGTCCAAATTGCCTTTTGTCGATATGAATAAGGTCAATCAAAGTCAATTTCTTGACCAGTAATCCAGTAGCCCTTCTTTCCAGTTGCTGAGAAAAATCTCCACGATCATATGGAATAAGCCAGGTGAAGCGAAACAATATAACTGATCTAAATTTCTATTGTTTTCACTACCTTTTTTCGCAGTGTTAGGACGTTTTATATATTCCTAAAAGAACTGAGTGGTAAGTAAAAACACGGTCTCAGGCGGGAATCGAGCCCGCGTTTCAACCTATCCGGGAACGTGTGCTCTACTTCTACACCACCGAGACACATTTGCCCAACCACTCATTCTTCAGCATCTCTATGTTAGCTGCAGAGCACGCATCCGCGAATAGGATGAAACGCGGGTTCGATTCCCAGCTGAGGCCGTGTTTTTGCTCATCACTCAATTCTCTTAGAATTCTTTCATAAACTACGATTAGAAGCTATATAGTGCAGTAGTTGGAGATGCCGTGCAATACACGCGTAATCATTCACTCGATCTCGCTCTACGAGCCCACCAGACCTTCCATCCATTCAGATCAGTATATTGGCGACAATCTTGTTAAGAAGGACAAAGAAGGAGATTTGACATGCTGGCGGAAAAGCGCAAGCCTTGTGTAGACCAGCAGCACTTCAGGATCCTTGCGATACTTGGTGAAGTCGAGTACACAGTTGTTATCGCTAAAATTAAACAACACGATAAACTTCATCACTAAGGTCCCGAGAAATATGCGCTAGCTTTCTAACCTAGATCCACTTAGAGGTTACTTCTACGACTTTCCCACTTCAATCTGGGCGCTCTTTTGTGCAGGCATAAAGCGCTCTACTCGTTTCGCCCATCTGATCTTCATCAGACGCACTTCAAGTGGTCAGGTATATGGTACCTGAACTTATGCAGTTGTTTCGCTTTCTACAACAGGGCGTATCACGCAGTCACCTGTTTCACACAATCAATCGTACAGGCGGTTCCGAATCAAACAGCGACGTATGTGTTAGGCAGATTTCTAAAATTTCTATACATAAGATCGATTGTTTTCAAAAACCTCGTGATAAATATTCGAAATAATTCCGAAAAAGAATGTTTTAAGCCTAAATGAGGTTGGTACGCCAGGGCCATACACCGGTGTTTCGGAGGTTTCGGCCTCCTCGTCAGTGACCCCGCCACACATTAACCCTGCATTGAAGCAAGAAGGGAGGCGTATAAGAAACAGTCGATCTTATGGAATAATTGTAGCCTGCCACTCGGAATCCATCGACTGAAAGTGGTGATGGACCAGTGTCATTGTACATTAGGCCAACACCACATACGCCTCCCTCCTTGCTACAATGCAGGGCTTAATGTGGGGCGGGGGTCGCCAACAAGGAGGCCGAAACCTCTGTAACACCAGTGTATGGCGCTGGCGTACCAACCTCGTTTAGGCTTAAAACATTCTTTTTTGGAATTTCTATACAGTTTCCCAGACCACTGTTATTAGACATTTCTAAGTCGTAGCACTTACTTCGTCTAATATAAAGTTCGCAAGCTTAAAGTTCTTAGGACCAACCAACGATTAACCTTAGCAGTATTCGAATAATTCCCTAATTTCCTTATTCACCGAGCACGAGGTTGTTAACACCACTTTGTACTAAATATACTGTGTGAGAACAGCAGTTGCTCACAGCAACATCTGCTAACAACAATGCTCACAATAATGTCTGTCAATACCAGCAACGACAAGTACAGTTGTGCTAGATAAATCGTCTCTGTTGATAACCATGGCTCTTTGAATGAAAGAATTACGAAGCGATTTCCTCATATGGGTTTAACGTAATATTGTTATCCTTATGGGGAGCTTCTCCTTTATTCCCTAATCTTAGTGGCTGCTCTCTCGTAGGCATTTGAAATGGGCATTTTTTTCCGCTAAGAATAGGCATTATTGTTTTTCTTTGGAACTCATTCATAAATCTTAATTTTTTACAAGCGCCCCTAAACTTTCGTCCAAGCCTAATATTAGATAAATAGCAAGTGATACGTCATTAGCAACAAAACATAAAGCAAGAAATACACTTCAGAATTATGTATAATATCACCACATTTATCGAAGAATATATTCCAATATCAAACGACAAATTTTGACAACGCACAAACCGCCACTATTTTTACACCATCTCCATACCGACCAGTACCCAAGGATCAACGCTTATCCACACCAGTTCCCACTTGGCAAACCACAAGCTGAAGTTTGGTATGTTGCAGCAGGCTACGGCGAGATCTCAGCTAGGTCAGTGGTTCAGTGTCTATGTGTAACCTTCCGCTCAGCTACACCTGGGACCACAAAAAGTCAACTCAGTGACGACGACTGTGTGTAGCTCTACCAAGCAATGCCAGCACAAAAACTACACGAGTATATATTTATTCTTCAGAAGTAACAAGATTTAATTATATACAAGAGATCTTCGAAAGGCGACATGGCACCAAATCTAAGCCACAGCCTTCTTCGCTTTAGAGCTCGAGGTTTTCGACTTCTTGGCCTTTTTCGGTTTGGCGCTCTTGCTAGCAGGCCTCTTCTTGGCAGCCTTCGCTTTCGGAGCTTTAGGCTTCTTCGGGCTCTTCGTCTTCTTTTCCGCCTTGGGCTTCTTCGATGAGCCCCTGCTGGGAGACTTGTGCTTCCTGGCACCCGGTTTCGTGCTCGTGTGCTAAACGGGGTGACCTTATATTACTACTCAGGCCAAACATACCTCAGAATGGAACATACCAAAAAACACTTACCCTCTTCTTTGCGGATGACGCGGACTTCTTCTCACCGAGCCTGAAGCTTCCTGATGCTCCGCTCCCCTTCACTTGCTTCAGTTCGCCCTTCGTCACGGCCTTCTTGAGAGCCATGCGAAGCTGAGAGTTGATCTGCAACAAATCGTACTTTGAAATCGAAACAGAAAGAACTACTGCTAAAGTCTATAGTAAAATCACCTTGTTGGTATTAGCACCAAGCTTGTAGTGCGCCATCAGGTATTTCAGGATGGCAGCCTTGGACGATCCGTTCCTATCCTTCAACTCGGCGACCGCTTTGTGGATCATGGCCGAGTACGTCGGATGAGACGGAGCCTTCTTCCCTGCCTTCGGCTTCGAGCCTTTGCCGGTTTTAGGAGAACCAGCTCCAGCAGCAGCCGTGGCGGTAGAGGCGCCTGCCGTAGTAGAAGACATGACGACCCAAGCAGTGTTGAACAACAAGCTAGCGCCCAACCCCGACGTCCGCTTATCCACCATGAGGGGTTCCCCCTCCGCGCCCCCAAGCGCGTTGACCCTGCTGTGGATCTAAAGCTCCCTGAACCGTGTTTAGTATGGCTTATGAAAAGCACTGTAGCAATCGATCTAATACTTGGTTTATCATGAAACCTTGGGTATATATAGAAAATATGTTTACCTAATAGAGTACAAAATTTCTGTGGCCACATTACTTTCCAAGACGAATTGAAACGGGTTTAAGCGCAGCCTGTCGGAGTCGCGGCGTCAACTATTGCCAGTTTGGTGGAAAAAAATCCCGTTATTAGGTGATGAAACAAGAAACCAACTACAGCGTGCTTGAAAGAAAGTATTTTGACACAGAAACAACATGGAAATCATTTGCTTTTAGACTTCTCCAAAAAATATTTCAATGGAAATCTTTGACAGAGTACACGAACAAAAAGTTCAATCTGGCAAAATTTTACCACTGAGCTTAAAATCGCCACTTATTCCACTTCAGACTTTTTTGAGGGGACTTTCTACATTACTACAGCTTCTTGTGAACATTTAATTAACATGTGCCTGAATAAATCCTGATGTTTGGGTTCGTTTTCAGTCCGAATTTCCATGTGACGTGACCGATCTTTCACTGCGCATTAAATACTTTATCCGCAGGTGCTAAACTTTTCGGATCACTTTCGTGAAAACTACTCATATTTCATGATGTATGCAAAATTATCCCTTATGAACGAAGTAGAATGAGTCGTATTAGTTAACTGGAAATCGCATAAGCTGTTAACTATTTGAAAGGGTGTGACGCAATTTCGAAAAAGTCAATGCAGGGATACATCAGATCCTGATATTATTATAAATGTATTACCTATATATACGCTGCTGGAAGTCACAGAATCATTTCTGATAATTGGAAAAGAAAATACTGTAGTGGGAAAATTTCTTTTTCTACGTCATTTATACTGTTAGCGTCAAGAAATCGTTGTGTTCAAGCGATTTTCTGCATTTCAAAGAATTTTCACTTGGTATCATATTCTTTAATTTGTAATCGCTGCTGTCACAAAAAATCATAGCTACTTTGGAGGGATCCGAACCGCAAGCAAACGGACTTCTCCCTTATCCATGAGGATTTTGACCAACAAAAGAGAATAGTATAGAGCACACTGTCAAGCTTCTCTGGTGTCTCACCTTCCAATCTCGGTGAAAAATCAAAAGAGAGAAAAGGATTGTTGCTCAAAGTGATGCGATCAGTCGTCTTAGACTTATCAAGATCACAGCATGTTAGTAGAAGATGAAATTAAATGTGTTCGGTAAAATAGATTTTGCTTAAATCGGTAAATCTGAGCTCGTTCGTATAATGAAACTAAATTGAGTAGCATCAAAATCAAGACATTTGACCAAACTATCGATAACTTTTGGACAAGTACTGATTGTATATAGTTGAGTTCATAAAGCGGATAACTTTAGGTAGAAGGACTTTGGGCGAGAACCAGTAGCTTACGAATTTAGTACCTTTGGACCGTCATGCTTTCACTTACTAACTTATCCGCATGTGTCATTGATTATAAGCTAAGTTTAAAAATTTTCGTACCGGAAATTTACAAAGAAGCATAGAAAAATGGCACAAGCTGAAAATTTCGCTGGATGTTTGAGAATATATGGATCAATGCATGCCTCATAGAGTGAAGAGAATTAAGCTTATAACGATCTAATCCTGGATCAAAATTACATTTTCTTTGTTTATTCTTTTCTGATAGCAGTTTAGTTTGAACACTACTAACGCTGCTGAAGTTCCTGTTTTTTGCTGTTAAAAACTTCAAATGTGAAGGTTGTTTGTGAAAAAATGCGTTTATTTGGTCATTTAAATTCAAATTGGGCATCCAGACAGATATACCTCTCGCGCACAAGAGGTTCTGATGAACCTGAAATTTCAAGTTTTTACAAATAAATTTGAAGTTTTTGAAAACTAAAAGAGTTTGGAATCCTGAATGCAATAAAACTAATACTACTAGATGAACGCTAAATTGCAACCTAGAAGTATTGAATCCATTAAAGTATTTGGCAAAGAATAAT